GTCCCAGGTCGTGCTGAGACCGGTGAGAGCAAGACAAGAAAAACGAATGCACTTCGTTGTCGGTGAGCAACATTTTACTGCCCACCTCATATTAATGCCCGACATGATCAGAAGGTTACAAGGCCGCTCAGGGCGCCTTAGTTTGACATTAAACTATAAACTATCCACTCAACCTCATGCACTTAAACATCCCTTACTGCCTGTAATACACTGATTGCTCCTCATCACATTCTTGACATTTATGAGACTGTTATTACAGTTTATTAAAACTTTATGTAAGGGCATGATTTGCATACCCTGTCATTCAGTTCTCCAGCATGGAGGTAAACCAGCAAGGACCACCAACAAGACCGCAGTGTGCTGAGAAGGTGTTTACATGTTGTTGTTACAGATGTTTTTGTAAAAGACAAAATGCATCACAGTGAAAATATGCAATAAACACACAAATTGAAATGAAAGGTAGATAAATAGAAAAGAAATACCCCAAAATAAACCATTCTAGTCTGCCAACCTGTTATAAGAATGTCTTTTTCCAAACATTTAGCCCAGATTCATCATTAAGGTAGAACGTGGCTCTAACACCAAATCAAGGCCAGTGGGTCATGACATCCCCTTATCAGTCAGGATAATGATTGAGTTGGACAAGCCTGAAAGACACCCAATCACCGCTGGCTAAAGAAACAAGTTACATCCCACAGAGCGGAGCCTGAGAGTTGTGACAGATTCCACACATAGTTTGCTTTCTCCACCACCTTCTCCCTATCAGCCTCCAAATTAATTATTTCTACATCAACCTGAAGTGGCATATAGGGAACTCAAGCTGCTAAACGCTTCAAGTCAGAAGCTAAGCCTCTACTACGTCTTTTTTTAATACCACATGCCTGAATACCGAATGCTAAAGTGTGATTACGCTCTGTGAAATAAATAAATATGCTCATTCCTTCTCATCTCTTTTCCAGCACATTTATTTAATTATCAAGAACCTCAAAAATAAATGTAGTCCAGACAACTGGAGTTTCTATCCAAGCTTCAAAGCTCTGCTACCATTGCACACATGTTAATGTTTATGTAAAGGTCTAATGTTTGTCTGGAGTGGCAAAATATGTGCAGGATGAGTCCAATAGGCAGTCCATCTGACCAAACGGCACACACTGTCTTGCAGAAATTGTCTTGAAAACACAGATACCTAATAAAAAAACAATCAAAGCTGCTTTGAAAAATACACAACGTCGCATTACTTTGAGCCAGCAAGGATGAGGTTTCAATTTCAAAAATGAGGAAGCCAGCAGCAGCATGCAAACATTACTTGATGTGCTAAACATTGAGTATGTAATTAATGTTTACATTAGATTTGTGTTTAGCCAGTATGATCATTTGCTTTCATTACAAAGATAGCTGTCATATTAGTGATGCTAACACTTTCTGTCCAACAGTGTAGACCTGGTACAGGTTCCTCAGACAAGAAAAATCCCACCTTTTGAAGGGCACATATTATGTCGCTGGTCATCTTTTCATTTGTTATAACACGTTTTACAATCCATGTTGTGTTATTATTTGGCATTATAACAGTGTGGATTTTCACAGATAATTTCCCACAAAAGAAAATAATCTAATTCAAACCTTGAGTCTATTTGTGGACTGATTTGTATGCTGTAGTCAGTGATCATAGCCAGAGCACATGGAGCTGGAAATCAGCTCCTGAACTCAATCAGCCCAGTGGAAGTTATCAGTGCCCCACACAGAGCACATAAGAGGGCACGAATGTGCTGATAAGCTGAGCCTCTGACCTGCAGCCCGCCTCCTCCCCGTCACTGTGATTGAAATGAGGATGACGCAGCCCATGAAAAGCCATGATGATAAGGGATGTTTCTGCACTATACCAGAAAGGAGGTTCACGTTGAAATGTGATTGATGAGAGATTGTGCAAGCCTCCTTATCCTGATAATTCCACACCCCTTTCAAAAGGGAATTTACGATGGACTTGATTTACACAGGCAAGCTTCTGTATTACTGGAGCTATAAACATAATGTATATGTGCCATTTGTTAACACAGAGACCTACTGTACGTTGAGGACATGGAGGTTAATGTCATATTTTTAAAGAAGTGTTTGCTAGGAAGTCTTAGCTTGGCCATGTACCAAAGCAATGACCTTTCAATGTCTGAAGCAACTATCAATTAATCTTTCAACAACTCAAACCATCTCCAAAAACTAGCCTAAAACAAGGTATTATAAAATATGTAAGGAGCCAAAGAAGATAAATCGATGGATATCAACTATTCAAATCCAGACCCAAAATATGTAATTGACCAGGTCTATCAGTACGTGTCTCTACTTTGAATTATATTTTTTCAATGGTTTGTTTGTAAAGCTTAAAAAACATAGGCAACACAAAAATATATAATGTCAGTATATGATGTATACATGCTGAGATGTGTGACTTTTTTGTTGGCATTTTTCTATTAAACTCTCTATGGCACCAGTTAACTGATAATTCATCTTGAGCCAATAGAGAATGCAAAGTGGACTTGAAGAGGACGACAGGATTAAACTGGGCTGCAATGCAGAACAGAAATCCAGCTAAATTGAAAAAAAAAGGATTAGATCTATTAGCTGAAGCAGGGCGAAACAAGGAGTGTCAAAAGTTCATTTCGTTCCGAAGTTACACCTCTCATTGGATGAAAATATCAGAGTGATTCTAATTATACATAATAATCCTTGGTGTAAGCAGAGATATAGTGCTTTAGGAGAGTGAAGGCTAAGTCATTAAATCATTTTCATTTTTATTCTAGTGGCACCTCAAGGCTATCACTATCCCATGCTATCTTCACATCCTCACACCAATATGTAGGCATTGTTTTCCCTTTCACAGTTAGACCACTAATCTATTCAAAGAGAAACCTGAGGACATTCTCTTTTATATTCATAAAATAGGCCATGTGGTTTGGAACGTGTTTGCATAGATAAGGTTTAACAATATAATAGTCTCAACATTTGATAATAATGCATTAATACAGTCTCGTGAGTTTTTCTGTAATGTAGGTCTGTTATAACCATATAACCAGCAAGAGTAGATAAGCCTCTTATTTCACTCCGTTTCTACAAATAAACAGGACTACAAAACTGTAATTTGAACTTAAGTAGGCAAAATATCAAATACATGTGTCCTTTAAAAGCACGATGACTCAGATGACTGCTGATCCCATGACAGCTTAGGTCAACATGATTTACAGGCCAACATGTATGGCTGCCCTTGAGCTGCAAGATATTGTCTTCGTCTCAGGGGACATGCTTTCAGACCCATCCCCTGTCTAACACTGCCATCTGAATTTTTTTTAAATAGTTTAATTGTGCAATGAAACACTTAATGGCTGCCACAAATATATGTGTGTGTGTGTGAGCCAACCTCACTTCATTTGAAAGATCTGTTGACCTGCTCAGCTTCAATTTCATAAACCTGTTTCTATCATGAGGCGAGTGATGACATATTCAAGTCATTGACTCAAGCTCTTACAGAGTACAATACAGAGATAACCTCCACTAATTCATGATACTTTAATTGAAAGATATACCAATTATACTTTGTAATGAATGTATCTTATTGTTAGAGAAGAAATGTAATGTTTCTTTATGCTTTAAGTAGTCATTTGGCGTCCATTCAATTTGAAACCTGCCATCACACCATTATAGAAACCAGACAACTAAAAGAAAAACAAGAGACAACTCAATTCTATGAGCAAGCAATCTACCTCATACAATTCACAACGTAAGTGAATAAAACATGAATGTTGAGGTAGGCCATAATGACAACTTTAAGAGCATATTTAATACCTGACAGTATTCATGATTCTGACATTATTTAATCCAATCCAAGGATGTGAAATATGTTTAATATTCATGTATATATGCAAATCAGGCAAAGGTTTTCATTGTTTATTTCTCACATCATTCAAATTACTTCAGTATTTACTTATCTCTTTTGTATCTTTTAAAAGGAGTAAATATATTGAAACCTGCTAGATAGTATCTGCTTTACACCTGGTATTCATCTCCAGGCTCATAATGCTTTTGCAAATCAGATAAATGGGAAAAGACTATGAATGTTGTATGTTGTTTGACCATACCAGTTGTAGTTATGACTAGTTAACAGCAAATGTAACGAAAAACGATAACTATCTACAAAACAATACTGTCCAGTGTTGACAATATTCAACAGGTGATGACTGGTGCTATTTGTTCAAGTTAACAGTATCCATCCCTTATGTAAATAGTGAGATGTTTAGCATAGATGAGCTATAAGCAAGCCTACGGGAAAACCCCCAAAACACAGCTGACATGACGCTATTATGACAGCTGGTACAGTGTCACCAAACTAACAAGCTAACTTTAGCCAACTGCTACCTAGCTTCACCAAAGACCCACATTGGGTTTACAAACGGACCATCAAAACAAAGGTGAGCCACCGCTTGACCTTCCCTTTCCTTTAAAAACCAGGATATCATATGTGTAGCAGCTGACCTCACGACACCACTCCCTGCTCTCCCTCTCTCAGTCTGACACTTTATTAATATTGTGCCCCCTTTATACCCTCTTGGTCAAATCAACCCCCTAGCTGGCCGACATTTTGTTCCCGCAGCTAGGCTAGCTCATCCCGGTTAACGTCACCTGGACGCTCCGCGCACTTGACATGGGAACAACCGGTGATGACAGCTCCACCGCAGGGCATGTTGTGACTCCATATTGCCGCTTATGCAAGCTCCGCGGAAATAGGGCACCGTTATTCACGTTTTCAACCAGAAGTTAACGTTAGCATATTGGGGCAACTAGCTAACCACCTAGCATTGCGCGTAGATGCAGTTCGCTAGCACTGAGGGAGCGGAGTTACCTCAGTTATTGCTCGCTTGTTCCCGCAGACACACATCCAGTCAGCGCCTGCGGCTACAGAGAAACACTCTCTCTCAAATAACGTACTCACGGAATGATCGAGAAACCCCATTCACCTTTTGTTTAAGCAATGCTCCTCCTCACGGCGTGCTTGTGATAATCTGACAGAAAACGGGAATTAAAAGGTCTTCCTGGTGTGGTTCCAGAGCAGCAGCCGCCGCACTGCAATGGCAGGCAGTGGATGAAGCTTCTCCCCCCCTCTGCTCTCACACTTCGGCTGCCGTCACCGCCGCGGTGACAGTGACAGGTTCGCCTGGAAGAAACCATTCCGATCTGTCCGCGGGGGGAGGGGTAGGGATGCAGAAAGAGGCTGCAGAAAGAGGCTGTCCACAGCACCGCAGCAGCAGCAGCAGCAGCAGCAGCATCAAGCGCCATTCCAGCGTGAGAACAAGCGTTCATCGGAGAGGATGAAAATACACCGAGGAAGCGTTATCAGCTCTTCGAGAACACAGGGGAGCCCACTATTTATATGTACGAATGGATGCGGCGGTTATCATAGTGTCATATATTTGAAATACACAAATTAATAAGGGAAACAAAAATAATGCCTAAATCTAAAAAATGAAAGTGCAGAAGTCTATTGCATTGCATTGCAGTAAAGACCCAATGCATGCTTAACGTCCACATTGATGGCATCCTCACTGCGGAATATCACAGTTTCACATATTAGACATAATATTGTGAAACGAATATTACAACCACGTTAATTCTAGGGTAGGTTTATGAGTTGTGACAAAAATAATTCGACCAACCAATTTTTGATTTGTGGACTAATGACAGGAGTCAGGCATGTAGGATTGACATAGCTATACGCAAATGAAAAATAGATTTGCATTGTGTTTTGGTTAATAAAAGTATTTTCATTGGCCAATTTTGTGCAAAACAATAAGCAACTTTTTTTTAGTGTGGGTGGTAATTGGATGATCAGCAAAGTAATTAACAGCTTAATCACCCAAAAATATTTTGATTTGATTTAGATTCAACAATATATCCTAAAATATTTAATAATCTATATTTTAACTGTATATGAGCTACTAAAATAACTTCCTGTTCCATGTTACATTTTCTCTAGTGCCCCAATATTGCAGTATATTTTTTTAAAGCTAGACTGCAGAAGGCCTATAACAGTCCTAAGTGGACACAAAGCCTTGTAAGCTTTGCCTTTGCTGCAAGTGACGTAAGGGGTTATAATTTATCTTTAAAGAGCTTTTAACAGACATCCTGATCAAACAGAGAGCTAATAAATCGGTTTGAGGATCAGAGAGCTATCAAGAGCTTTGTTTGCAGTGAGAGTGAAACTACATTACCCTCATGCACCATAAGAGAGGGGTGTTTGAAATAGTTCTTTATATTATAACTTTAGCGTTATTTAATCATCTTTGAACATTTGTTTTAACAATACATTTCATCCAGGTTCTGAACAGCGCTGCATACTTTAACAAACTTTGATGAAGCATACTTATTTTACACCTGGTATGAAAACTTTCAGCAGATACAGCAGACATCCTGATTATTTCTTCACATTCTGAAGCATTTAATCTATTTGTCAATTAAAAAGAAACTAATTTGAGACAATAACTTCCTCGTGTATGGAAAGCCTTAATATTGATTTCACAGATCAAATTTCAAAACTGAGGCGTTTGATTGATTCAGTATTCTCTGAGACAAAAGGCTGGACAAGGACAAGTTGCTTTACCTTTTTGTGTGTGTGTGTGTGTGTGTGTGTGTGTGTGTGTGTGTGTGTGTGTGTGTGTGTGTGTGTGTGTGTGTGTGTGTGTGTGTGTGTGTGTGTGTGTGTGTGTGTGTGTGTGTGGGTGTGGGTGGGTGTGTGTGTGTGTGTGTGTGGGTGGGTACGTGCATAAAGAAGAGAGCTATATTCATTTCAAAATGATGACTTCCTTCAAAATATGCTGTGGTGGATAAGGATTAGAGGCCCTTAATGTGGAAGATATTTCACTTTGATGTTTTTTGTTTTGAATGCGAAAGACGTTGCGAAAAAAATAATCTATTTGGATATCACTTTTAACTACCGCAAAACTCCTTACAGGGAAAGCTGAGGTAGGCTACTTAAGTAGTAATGACATGCTGCATAAAGCCATTTAAAATGCAGAAGATAGAACTAAAATCCACCGTACAGTCACGATGCTCAATACTCCTTCCCATGGGGTATACGGATTTAATCAATATACAGTAGAATGTAAATTGTGCACTGCACCAAACTCCACTCTTAAGACTCCATCGCATGCACTTTAGTTTTTTTGTGCTGGCCTTTCCTAGAAGTTCCTAATTCTTTGCAGAACCTTTACTTGTGCATTTTATCACTTTGAGATTGTGTGACCGTTCTTGTCACCTCTACCTCTGGCACTAATGAGCGCAGGAGAAGATAGGGGCTGAATGTAATGCTGGAGGAGCACAGAGGTCCCGCAATGTTGCTGACGTAGGGAGACTTGCTGCAGATTTCATTGGAGGATCTGAAGGAGAAGAGGGGGGAGGCCGGGGCCTCTTGAATCGAAGAATGCGAGTTGTACAAGGTCATAAGAATAAGGAAAACATATATACCCTGTGGAAAAACAAAATATGATGTATAGCAGTTGTAAATATAGGAACAAGGAAACTGCTCTGAAACCAGTGAATGTGACCTGCACCTCCACATTTTTGTTGAGTGTTCAGTGATAGTGATAACATGCAAACCTTTGGCAGTGTGTCAGGACAGTATATGTCACTAAGCACGAATGACGGTTTGACGACAGCATTAATCATCATGCATCACGGTATTAAAACTAGCTGAAGTACTGAAGCAGAATAATGTAATCACCCCCTCCTGAACTGCATGAATGTAACGTTTTTTACAGTCTGCATGAAACTAAACTGGCTCTGATGTGAGTTTATGCTGCTTAATGTATCTCTGTTGAAGCCCTTGAAATACCCTCTGTTAATGCTACAGCAGTGTTTGCATCACTGGCTCCAACAGCACAGAGGGAGTTGCACATGCCGTGCAACAGAATTATGCAGGCCCTCACCCCCCATCAGCACATTTCAACTCACAGACAGGATCCAAACCAGAGTATAACTGCAAGAACAAATCACACGAGTGGGAAAGCAAATTAGAAATTCACAGCAGGTTGGCTTTTAGAGTGCTCTGCCCCTGACGGCGAGTGAGTCACCTCTCAGCTGCACAGGTCAGGAAAGCAGCCTACTAAGCAAAGGTTGGCGTGGCTATCTATGAGCTTTAATGACTGCAGCTATCAAATGACGTGACAGACGTTAAACATAGCACTGCAGCAGAGGAAATTAAATGCTTTTGTCTAAAAGCAATCTGAGAGAATAGATTTTGTTATGTGACTCCGTGTTGCCAAAGCTGCAAGATGAGACTCAATACTTTTTGCAACTTATCTTGTTATCCAGTCTTTGGTTTTACAAATTGGAGTACATCAAGGTAATCTCATAAGGGAGTGAGCTGGCTACTGTACAGAGGCTTGTATTTCTGAGATTTCTGTGTCGTCCTCTGTCAGTATCACTGACCTCTACCATGAGAAAGCAGCACACTCACTTGACAGCCAACCCATTTACTCAGGACAGAAATTCCTTACACGAGGTGTCATCATAATATCTCACCATTACATTTATTATGTGCAGCACATTCCGAGCTAAGGATAGAGACAAGGGTCCGTGATCCAGCAAGTACAAGATATCTTGTAAAGTCAGCACTTATCAAAAGGTGCTTTATAGAGGAATGAAGTGTGACCTCGGTGAAGCAGAGTTGAGGATGTACAGCAGTGAAATGCAGCTGCAGCATGCAGGAGGCACAGTTTGGCTGCAGCCTCCTGATCTCCGTCCAGTGTATTAGCAGCTGACTTTACAGCATGTGATTGTAACACCTGTCCCACAAAAGAAAAAATAGTTCATCTTTAATCTGGAGCTTAACATTTAGACTCTGAATTAAATGCAGCTGGCTTTAATTTCATCTTTTGTGCACTCAGATGTTATGTAAGGGCCAACTAAAGCAAATAAACAACAGCTTTTGCAAAGGACTAATTTAGTTATTTGTGATTTTCTTTCTTGTAATTCAGATGGAATGAATAGTTTATATATTTTGTGCAAAGAGATGCATGTTTGTCATTTTTTGTGATGCACCTGCCGGAGGGGATATGCTGCAATTAAATTATTAAATTAGTATAAGTGTCCAAATAAAAAAATATCTGTCTATCAATTTGCAACATTTAAAGCACTAGCACTTTAAAAGGTTAGTATTTTACAATAAGGTAGGAAAAAGGATTACAAATAAAGGTGTACAGGATGACATTGCCCAAACTAAAATTTATATTTAAATACAATCTAAATCTATGTACAGGGAGGAACTACATATTTTCCAAAATTCCCAAATGAACCTGTAATCTCCATTCTCTCATTTTTTCCCACCAACAGCTGAGAGCTCAGACATAGCAGGTGACATGAAATGACCTCACATCCCGGCGCCGCGTATCATGTGACAACAGGCCTCCAACCGCCAAATCCTCCCTGGATCAAACTACAGCATCATGTACAGTTGCAAAGAAGCAATTGCCTAAGTATGTTTATCCCAGGAGAGGAAGCACTAATGCTAATAAAGATGAACAATTCCAATCAGTTAATGTGGACACGTGTATGACAGAGAGGTCTTTTATTGCAAAATGGTGAGTTAGGAATCATTTTGCTTTTGAAGACTACACCATTTTGCAGCAGTAATCATGAAGCTAATAAAAGGGAAGGGAATAAAAGCTTTTTAGAGCAGCAGGATCCTGATCAATGCGATTGTGATTTCACAGACAGCTGGAAACCGTGACGGCAGATTAATCATCTATGTTAATTAACCATAAATACTCTGCAGCTCCTTTCACATAGGCCAAGGGAGACATCATCTCCAAAACCTCAAATGTTGTTTAAAAAAGCACAATATAAAATGATGCAACCTACCAGTTAAATTATTAAGGAAGTGGCTGTATACTTTTTCATTTTCCATTAAGCAGACCTCTACATTAGTTTGGATTAATAAGAGGTTGTCTATTCATTGCTTCTTCCCAAGAGAGCCCCTTTGGTCGGGATGAGAGGAAAGCAATTAGAGGCGTTGGTGGGGTGGGGGGGGGATCAGGTGCTCTCTTCGGACCGGGCCGAGGGGGCATTGTGGAGGGCAGGTGATGGGGGTAAGGGAGACAGGAATGAAAAAGGGAGAAAAATCACCCAGTGGTAATTTACCGCACTGCGGAGGGAAGCCAGACAATGCCATA